CAGACGGACTTCAATCTCTGAACTCGTAAAGTTCTTTTTAATTTTCGCTGTCATTTTCATGAATGAATGGACACTTCCCTGTATCTGAGGTAAACATAGCCTTATATGTTGTTTTTGGGGTGGTAATCATGCTAATCTCTCGCGCGCACGAGCAGCAGGATATGAACAGGTGGAATTTACGCAGCTCATTTACACACTTTTCCTGAAGATAGAAGAGTTTGTTGAATCTGACGTGGCATGTTCGTACGAACCCTTTGTACGAACAAAAGTAAGAGAAATTTAGGATAAGAATACRAACATGTTCTTACATGAGGCCCATTGTTCAAGATCTTCCACACTTCCTTCCAGCTCCTAAGTTTTTTCATCCCTGTCTTTAATCACATTTAATAATCATGACCACATATTTCTGTCTTTGTTGAATAAATATTTCCATAACAATCACACTTCCTCCGATAGATCCAACCGGACAAACTGCTGTTTCACCACCTCTGACATAAAGTACCATAAATATTAAATATTTCCTCAGAATAATAAACATCAGAACAAAGTGATTTCTACTTGTGGTGGACTCGCATTTTGTGACTCTTCAGAGCATCGGGTCGAGCAAATTTCGAATCACAAATGTCGCAGCAGAATGGTTTTTCTCCTGTGTGAAGAAATGTGTGCGCATTAAGATGTTTCTTTTGCACAAATCTCTTTTTGCATTCTTTACAAGCAAACGGTCTATCTTTAGTGTCGTCTTTCTGATCCCTTGAGTGAACCAAGGCGTGGCTGTCAAGATGTGGCTTTCGGAAAAACGTTTTGTCGCACTTATCGCAAGCAAAGGGCTTCTCCTCCGTATGGAGTTTAGAGTGTCTGTTCAGAGATCCCTGTCGGGAAAATCGCATGCCACAATCCCCGCAGACAAATGGTTTCACTCCCTTGTGACTTATCATGTGTACATTAAGATCCCCGCGAAGTCTGAAACATCGACCACAACTACTGCAGGCGAACGGTTTTTTCCCTGTATGAATGGCTGTGTGTTGCTTTAGATCTATTTGTGAGCGAAATTTTTTATCACACACCTCACACTGAAACAGCTTCTCTCCTGTGTGGTGCCTCATGTGATATCTGAAACTTGCTAAAAGTCTAAATGATTTACTGCACTTCTCACAAGTATACGGTTTCTCTCCGGTGTGGATTCTCCTGTGAAGTTTAAGGTACGTCTGAGATTCAAATGTTTTACCACAATCAACACAAYCAAATCGTTTCTCTGCTCTAATKTGTTTTTCTCTAGAAAGTTTCTTATCCACCAAACTGCCAGAGCTTTTACCTGAATGAGAAGTCATGTGTTTCTGAAGAGWCTGCTTGTTGACAAACTGTTTGAGACACTCCGGGCAGCTGAAGGATTTCTCTACATTTTTACGTCTTACTTTGCCTTTTACTCCTGATCCAGGTGTCCTGGTTTCCCTCCAATCTTCACCACTGTCTTCATTTTCAGATAGAGAACTTGACATATTTTCATCGTCATCACCACTGTCTTCAGACCTTAAAACATCTGAAGCCTTTCTATCAGTAATTGGATTTAAACGAGTATTTCGATTATGGGTCCTGTCTGGTTCTGGGCGTCTGCGGTCCTCGCCATCAGGCTTTTTTGTCTGCTTTGCTGAGCCGCTAGCTGGAGGTTTTGATCCAGATTTCCTGGTTTCCATCCAATCTTCATCACTGTCTTCATTTTCAGATAGAGAACTTGACATTTCATCATCATCATCATCATCATCATCATCTTCAGACCTTAAAATGTTTAAGGTCTTTTCATTTGGTTTATGGGTTCTATTTGGTTCTGGGTCTCTGCAGGCCTTGCCATCAGTTTTTGTTTTCATMTGCTCAGCTGAGCAGCTAGCTGGAGGTTCTGATCCAGGTGTCCTGGTTTCCCTCCAATCTTCATCACTGTCTTCATTGTCAGATCCAGAACCTGACATGTTTTCATCCTTATCATAATCATTGCTGTCTTCAGTCTCTGAAGAGTCTGACGCCCTCTCATCAGTGTTTGGCTGTAAGTTAGTATTTGGACTCTGGTTCCTGTCTGGTTCTGGTCCTCCACAGTCCTCTCCATCAGTTTCTGTCTTCATGAGTTCAGCTGAGCTGCTGGTTGGAGTTTCTGTCTCTCTGTTGTTTTTAGTTTTGATCTGATGAAGCTGGAATAACTGAGGTTTCTCATCATCTTCTCTCTCCACAGGAAGCTGCTCTCCTTCCTCGCTGCACTGGAGTTCCTTTTCTTCCTTCTTTATGTGGAGGAGTTCTGGGTTCTGCTGGTCCAGACTGTAGCTCAATCGAYGAAGAACCACTTGAACCTTCAACAGCCGCAGATCACCTGCAGGAGACAGAAGGACGTCATGTTAACTGACTTTCAGASAGTAGCTGAACCGACACCCTACAGAAYGTTTTTAAAGGGGCTGTATCATGTAAAATCAACTTTTTTGAGCTTTATTTCATGTTATYCTCTCATCAAAAACATGCCCAGGGTCTTACTTTGAACTAACTGAGGTTTCTCATCATCTCCACTCTTCACAGGAAGCTCATTTTCTTCCTTCTTTAWGTGGAGGAGTTCTKGGTTCTGCTGATCCAGACCRGAGCTGCACRGATGAGGAACCTCTKCTTCTTTTTTAACCTTCAACAGCTGCTGGTCATCTGCAAGAGACACGTAGAAATCCCTGTCAAGAAACCCAGCTGAAAGTGCAGCTGTAAGGGTTGGAAACAGGCCTTCTGACCCCAAACTTGACCCCCAGCAATGCAGTAATGAAGGCCGACACAAGAGCCACAAATGGAGCCAAGGCCAAAGAATACTAGCTATACTGAGGGCTTCTGGAACTAAAGTCAACACAAGTTACCAGGAAAGAGGAAGAGATAAAGCCCAGAAACTGTATAAGAGGGAGAATTGAAGAGATCTAGGTCTTCTGCGGCCAACTTGGAGAAAGAGCAGCTGAAGGCATGAGCAACGAAGAGCAGAAGGTCCAGGACACAACCACAGTGGGAGAAAGCTGCTATTCTGCCCCTCCAAGAGCGACAGCCCAGAGACCAGATCCACAGACCCTCCTGTGATTTCAMTGTGATTTTAATCATAACACAATGTATTAAACCTTTGTAACACCTATATGTTATTTTATTCGTTACACTTTGTATTTTCTCCGCCAGTCTGTTTTGATTGCAGGAACCAAAAATGAGAAAATGGCTCCCATTCATGCTTCACTGGAGGACAAGTCCAATTTATTTAAATTGTAAAATTATATCCAAATACAAATACGGGGAAGACATAAGGCTTTTTTTCAGGTTATCCGCCAGACAACCTGTTGACAAACATCAGGTTGACTGACATCCATCCATCCATCCATACATACATTGTTCTGTATACAAATTTCACTATATACAAAACAAATTTCACTATATAGAAATGTTCTCAGTCAGCCAGGTTGACAGTTTCAGGAGCTGCTTGAGTAAAACTTCCTAGTTCTCCTCCTCATCCTCTTCTTTGAAATGGAGAGCAAAAAAATCAACATCCATAAGCTTTCTGTACACGACTTTATTAAAAGTTACAGTTTAGTGTTCTTAGGACGGAAGACATTCTGAGTAAAGAGGTTTTAAACAGCTCTTCTGTTATTTTAGTGTTTTCAACTGAGGAGATTTATTTATTAAAAAAATATAGCACAAGAATTACTCTGCACAGAAATTTTTTTTATTTAATTGTTTTAACCAAACTGACAAGTTTCTCCACTAAAACTATTGTGCAATTTGAAGGCATTGAAACACCTGGTTAAATTCAGCAGATATTTGTTATTAACTACAATACAAGCACCTGAAGCTGAATCAGAGAGTTTTGATGTGCGCATGAACACATCGCTTTTAGAACTGTGAGGGTTAAGGTTAGTCTTCCTGAAACTTCATCAGTCTAACAGCCTATTTACAAAATAATGAACAACCTCTGTGCTGGAGAGGAAGATGACGAGAAGCAAAAACTTTAACTAGAGAATAAAAAATGGACAGAATGCGTAAAACGGATTGAGGTCAGCAGGACAGGATATGAAATGTACAATCACAACGAACAAACATTCAGGGAACATGGGCCAAACAGAAGGAGGAAACAAAGAACAGCTGCTAAATGAAAACCGAGCTAATGAAATGACAGAACATCCTCCTAACATGGATGTGGTTTACTGTAGTTTCAAGTCACTTCCTGTTTACTCGCTGTAGATTCAACTTCCTGATAGCCTCGTCCAGTCAGAAGCTAACTTTATTCACAACAACAATCAGGACAAAATAAACTTCACATGTATGACCGCATAACTATAACTCAACAAGTCCTATAAAATAAGTTTCACACTTAGAACTGCTWTAAAATAAGTTTCACACTTWGAACTGSTTTTTGTTCCGTTTCGCTCTTTTTTTCTTCTTGAGCTGTTAAACTAAATGTTTCTCCTTAAGTAATTAAAAACAGCAACGAAAATATATTGACCTCCATTTTCTTTTTCGACAGAGTCACGAAGACTGAAATGTCTTTTAAATGAACGACTTTCCATYTTGTTGATTCACGAAGCTTCTAACTTAAAAAAAAACAACTTCTAACTCTGTGTGATTGGTTAATTACTCCCTCGTTCCCTCGGGTTCATCAACTTAGGTTCCGCGTTTTGTTTTTTAGGTTAGTAAATTCCAGGATTTAGACAGATTCGATTGTAAACTAATCCGAAAAGCTGACAATATTTCAAACTAAAGGAGCACTGAATAAACAGAAGGTTTATGCGGAAAAACACAAAAAGTGGAACCTGCGTTTTCCGGCTCCACCGCTTGTTTCTACCGGGGWCGGACACTGATKTGTGTAACACCGGTGTTAGAGTCCTGTGATGGAGTTTCGTTGACATCCAGCCAGTGATACTTCGTGACTTTAGTAGAAACTGTTTACCCGCACATCGTTATCTACCGTGGGCTTTCAKCCGGGCGACATGGCGGATAATATCGTGAGTACAACGGCCGGTGGTGTTAGCGGTGCTATCGGTCGTTAGCCTAGCCGTAGTCCGGGTGGGATGAGGCAGCAGAATTAGCACAGTTAGCTAACATTAGCGTAGCGACTGCGGCCTGCTCAGACTAGTGACTGACTAGTGCTCTTTTTTTCCCCMAAAAAATACACACATTAAAAATAAGTGACTATCGTAGACCTTAAAGGCTTATAACATGCAATGTTTCACGTATAAAAAATATCAGAATTTTGTGTGATTTGCTCATTTGCTTAGTTAATATTAGCAGAAACTTGCCAGTTGCGCTGTGGATAAGCCAACAAATAAGCTGGAGATTGTTTTAAAGTTTAATTAATTAATAACTTTAACTTAGTGTTCTGCTTGTAAAGTGTTTTAATGATTAATGCAGACATATACACTTAGGATCACATTACTTTTTTGCACCGTCATTGCTGTCATCTCACTTCAAGAAGAGGGACAGAGAAGAAGAGAAAACATCCTTGTTTTGACTCATGGCCTTTAAACAATCAAAGGACTTGTATGCTTTTATATGTCTAAATAAAGTTTTCTGTTTGGCCATGCAGATCATCAGGGTGCAGTCTCCAGATGGGATGAAGAAAATCATTTCTACCAAGAGRGAAACTGCAGCTGCTTTTCTAAAAAAGGTACCGACTACAGAGACAAAACTCTGTTGTAGTTTGGGTGTTTGGTCCCAGTTAAACACAAATTAGTCTTTGTTCACATTAACTTTTTTCTTTTACAGCAAGCCCGGTAGCACACAGAATCTTCATCATCTTTTACATAAAAAGTAATTTTATTTCACCTTTTTAGAGTGATTTTCCTCTCCAGATATTTTCTAAAAGTCATTCTACATTATTTCTAGTGAAAGGTTATCAAGGAGCTAAGTAGTGCCAGTAGCACATTGTTTTTAACAGTCTACTACATAAACATAATTTGTTTAGTTAGAATTTTAAAAAGAAAAAATTATAACCCAGTTTGAGTGTTACAAAATAGTATTTTTCCATCAAGGAAGCCATTCCCAAAAGGAAAGCAAAAGAGAAACACCTCTAAGATCAACATAGAAGTTTAATTTTTGGCCATTTTAAAATAACCTAAACTGTGATGTGAGCTAAAAACCAGAGTTTGGCTTGAAGTGTTTCAATTTAGGCTTATCTCATTTCTCTCTTTGGTGCCTGCTTGTCTTCTCTTTGAATTACACCTACGTGTAACGATCCATTAATCTATAACTGATGTGAGTTTAAGATGGTTTATTTCAGGTACAAGTTGTATCCCAGCTGCTCGCCTTGTCCCCTCTGCTCATGGCTCTGAGGGGTAAATAATTAAAGATAAATACAAATTAGCAATTTAAAATACAGGAGTTAGATCAGCCTTTGTGGTAAAAGATGCAGAGTCCTAATCTGAGCAAGATGTTGCTCTTGCAACGCAATACCAATAAAACAGGTAAAACTAAAGGAGCAAAGTCCCTTAAAAACACACACAACTAAACCAGCAGGGGTTTTGTTTATGACTGCTTTTTTATGGAGAGAGTACCAGGTCAGTCCTGCTCTGCTCCCGTTGTCTGTTTTGGCTTCCAGCAGTCACACAAGGCTTGTGAGGGGAAATTTCCATTCATAGACTGCAGTTAATGCCTCATAGCAACACTAAGGCAGCAGTTTGACAGGTTGTTTTACAGGCCTGACATGGTGTGAGACTGTTTAAACCAGAAAAATGTTGGTAGTAAATACCACAATTTGTTGTCACGTTTTTGTTTCTTGTTTCTATTTTGTTCTCTGTTTCACACTTRGCACCTCCAACAGTAAAGACTACTTTGCAGCATTGGCTTAGAAATCCTGAAATAGATCACGCGGCCCCAGCAAAGTGATGCAGCAGTTCATTAATATTTCATCCATCTGTGTTGCAGAAGGATAGAATAGTTTACAGATCAATGGGAGGAGAGGATTTTATTCCCTRCTGATCAGCTGCCAGCAGTGGGTGAAAGAAAAAATAGTCTAATGGTCTGAGTTGTGCAGGTTAGATTTCTGCTGCAATAACAGGAGAAAAAAATGAAACTGTTGATATTTTTCCTGCTGTCTGACATCAGATTCCTTAACTTAGAGTTTGTGTTATTTATTTATGCTGGTTTTAAAGATAAATTGGTAGTTTTTCTTTCTCAAAATCCCTTGGAGCGATATCACACTGGGCTCAGATCGTTTGAGAGTCAAACATGAGGGGAAAAAAATGCCCATTTTTTTTGTTGCATTTTCTAAATTTTGACCACGTTTTGAGCAGCCATTTTTGAAAATCTCRACCTGTTTTTGGTGTGCCTTTACAAAAACCATTTCCAAGGCTGTGCACATTATTTCACTGTCCAGCAATCTCTACATTTATATACAACTTAACTGATAAACATGCTGACTGTAAGCATTAGCTTGACTATCTGAATGTGRCAAAGTGCCGTAAGATGCAAGAATTATCAGCCCACTCAGTTGTCTTCTAATAACTTTATTTTGCAAAGTGTAAAGTGACTAAGGCGATCTGAACAAGCTGAACTGAGGAAGCCTTTTGATGGTGTCAACAACAACAGCAGCTTTCACACACTTGTTGATGTTTTATGGTTCTTTAAGGAAGAACTATTTTCACTCCCATTAGTCCAGGCTAACTTTAAGCTCATATTCACACCTGATAGTCCGGTAGACTCGGTTCGATTGGGGACCAAAACGGTAAGCTTTGTTTACAATTTTTGTTGGTGCGGTTTGAATTCACACTGCAGTTTCTCAACCGAACTAAACCCTGTAAACAACCTGTTCCCGCCCTCACCTGTGGGGGCGCTGCACAAACAACCACTAAAGAATCAACATGAAAACCTCAGAGGAAGACATGGAGCGCTGCTTCCTTATTCACAAAATGCAAACAAACAATAGTAACGTTACATTTTAGTGGTTGTAAGGTTTATTTCTTGATTTTGGCAAATGTGTTAAACAAATAGTCTTTAACGAGCTCAGCATGAGAGGAAGATGAGGCGGAACCACAGAGGTTATTGTTTTGCACACAAGGCGGCTGAGGAAGCTCYGTGTTAATCGAGAAGGGGCGCGTCCAGCTCCACAGTCATGATGTCCACCTTATACAGTCGTCCAGCGAGGAATTTACACCATATAAGTAAATTTAATACTGTTATTACTATGAATGACCTGTGTTATAGTCCGCCTCCTGCTTTTGGAGCTGTCTCTGGTCCGCTTAGCGTTCACACATGCAGTCAAACCGCACCAGAGTGCGTTTCAATCGAACCGAGACCTAGGTTTTCAGGCGGACCAGAGTTCGCTTTTTTGGTCCGAATCAGAGTTCAATTACGCGTTCACACCTACACAAATGAACCGGACTTTCCAGGCAAACGAACTAGAGTTCGATTAAATCGGACTAACCTAAGATGTTGAACTGATGAGGAAACGTTTCTGTCCTCTACAGGTCGCCAAAGAGTTTGGGTTCAACTCCAACGGCTTCTCTGTTTATCTGAACCGCAATAAGACCGGAGAGATTCTGTCCCAAAACAAAACCCTCAGCCTGCTTAAGATCAAGTGAGTGAAAAGTAAAAGAATCACAAGTTTGGATTTCAGAGCTCAGCTTCAGGAAGTGTCAAGAGAAGTGTTTATTCGTTATGTGGAGGAGAATAAGTCTTAGGATKTTGTCTGCAGGCATGGAGACATGTTGTTTCTGTACCCCTCTGCTGCCTCCTCCTCCTCCCCCTCTGGGGAGGTCATGGACACGGCCACCCCACACTCTTCTTCATCCCTCCCCTCTGTCTCATCGTCGTCGTCTTCTTCATCCTCCTCCATACCACGGTCCTCTTCGGCGCCCCAGGTCCAGGAGGACGAGATCGATCAGTATCTGGCCAAGCAGGACGGCAAGATCTACCGGAACAGAGACGCCCAGCTGTAAGAAGCAGACCAGCTGCAGATGACCAAACCAAATCCAGACATGGGAAACTTCATGAATCTGTTTTGATTTTTGTTCCAGATGTCGTCACGGTGCTCTTGGAAAGTGTGTACACTGTGTACCATTAGAGGTGAGGCCTCTTATGCTTAAAATTTAATGGCTGCTATTTTAAGAGAAGCAAACATGAACGATTTATATTCTGTTATTTTTTTTTATTTCTATTTTATTTTTTCAGCCTTTTGACGAGGACTACTTGAATCACCTCGACCCCCCAGTGAAGCACATGTCATTCCACGCCTACCTCCGCAAGCTGACGGGAGGCGCTGATAAGTGAGGCGCTTGTTTTGATTGAGCTGATGTCGAGCGGAGAGTTCTGTTGGGTTCTAACGCGGTTCTGATCTCCCGCAGAGGGAAGTTCGCAGCTCTGGAGAACATCAGCTGTAAGATAAAGTCGGGCTGCGAGGGCCACCCTCCGTGGCCCGAGGGGATCTGCACCAAGTGTCAGCCCAGTGCCATCACACTGAACAGACAGGTACGTCACCACGATGACACCTGGAAACAAGGATTCTGATTCGTAGGGCTGGGTATCGTGGGCAATTCTCTAGATCGGTGGTTCCCAAACTTTTTATCTTCTGACCCACAAAATATCCATGGCAAAAACTTGTGACCCCAAATATTACTGGTCTGAGTACATGAACTTTGTTAATAACCCTAAAAACACAGGCTTTTTGACAATCTAAACAGCTTGTACACAAATATAAATACTTATTTATACTTATTTTGGGTTTTTGTAATAGTTATGAGGAAAATATTACATCAGCAATTATTTTATTACCCTTTAAATTGATTTCTGGAGATTATCCAAGGTGCTTCATGACCCATAATTGGGTCCCAAGCCCAACTTTGGGAACCAAAGGGCAGTGGTTCCCAAACTTTTCAGCTTTGGACCCACAAAATAACAGTAGCAGAGACCTGTGCCCCCAACTGTTTTTGGATGATAAACATTTGTATCAGGTCAACAAAATATGGGCATAGTAACAATATTTTTATACTACATTTATCCATTTTAAATACACTAACCTCACTCCTTTGTAACAACTAAGGCAAAAATGTAATTAATTCAGAAAATCTTGTCAGGACCCCACCTTGATGTTTCAGGACCCCACTTTGGGTCCCGACCCCAACTTTGAGAAACAGTTCTCTAGATCAATTCGATTTCGATTCATAAGGTTTTGAATCGTTTATTAAGATTCGATTTGATTCAATCTGCTCTTAAAAAATGAAAATGGTTCAACTGTTGTAAAATACAAAATCACTATTTTTTCTCTTCGACATAAATAACAGGTTTTAAGGACAAACTTTTAAATTAAACAGTTTAATCTTGAAGGAAAACTTTCACAAATTAAAAGGTTTTAAATTAAAAAGGAGTTGCAGGTGACAGTGTTGTTGGAGGAATTCATTTTAAAGAAATTATTAATTTTCTTGATGAATAAGAAGTGATGGAATAAGGTTGCAGGAGAAGAGGTGCACTAATATAAATATACTTCTGCCCACTCCCCTTGAGTGTATGAAAACTGTATGTTTGTAATGTTGCTGTTAGCTTCTGTTATGGTCAATATAACTTATTAAAACTTATTAATTATAACTTATTAAAACAAATAATACAACTACAACGTTTCATTGCTGTGGATTTCATTAAGACGTTTCTTAAAGTATAAAAATAAAATTGGTAACAAAAGTAAACGATTTTTAGAATGTTGTCTTTCACACATTTCTACATGCTGTGGAGAACAGTTCAGTCAGATGTTTACGTACAGTTGTTTGGTTCGAGCGCCTAACGAGCCGCTCGTCAACCCCACGTCGTTTTCTCTACCACGTAGGAGCGCAAATCTTGTAAACAAAAGTCACCATGGTTTCTGTTGTCTTTAAGTTCTGTTAAGTGTCCGCTGGTAACGTTAGTGATTCTTTAGTTTCTTTTGTTTTGCCCCAGAAAGCTTATCGAAAGCTAATGTTAGCACCTAACGTCAACCGGATGTACCGGTAAATATACGGCAAGCCAGGAGGGACAAAATATAGAAACACTTTTCAGATGTGCGCACAAGACACCATGGGAAAGAATCGATCTCGTGCCCTGTGAATCGATTTTCCCAAATTTAAATGAAATCGATTTTTTACCCTTCCCTACTAATTAGTTCATTTATTAAAGCTCAGTCGTTTAGGCATAGATTTATATGTTGTTGCTGACTCCCATACTTGAACTGTCTCAGAAATACCGACACGTGGACAACATCATGTTTGAGAACCACACCATCGCGGATCGCTTCCTGGACTTCTGGAGGAAAACGGGCAGTCAGAGGATGGGCTACCTGTACGGCAGGTACACCGAGCACAAAGACATCCCTCTGGGCATCAGAGCCGAGGTGGCAGCCATCTACGAGCCGCCGCAGGTGAGATGTCCCCCTGGACACGGTTTGTCTTCTCGTGTCTTCAGTTTGTAATGTGTTCTCCTGATCTTCTCCGGGGTGCTTCAGAGCGCGACGCAGAACAGCCTGGAGCTGCTGGAGGATCCTAAAGCTGCAGCTGTAGATGAAATCGCTGCCAAACTGGGCCTCTGCAAGGTGGGCCTTTTTAAGATGCGTCCTTTAGGCGCCTCACGGTTTGAGTCGGAGCGCTGCAATAATTATAGAACTGTCGGGTTTGTGGATAAACACCAGGAGGAATCAGATGGTCTGTCGGCAACCATCAGATTCATTTTTTTGTTTTGTAGGTGGGGTGGATCTTCACTGACCTGCTGTCTGAGGACACGAGGATAGGTACTGTCCGCTACTCAAGAAACAAGGTGAGCCTTCGGCCTGTTTGTTAAATAAACCAGCTTTTTTTTGTCCCTAATTTRATCTAAATGTTCCGATGCATTTGTCAGGACTCACATTATCTGAGCGCAGAGGAGTGCATCACAGCCGGGTACTTCCAGAACCAACACTCGAACCCCTGCAGGCTCTCACGAGACGGATTCTTCGGCTCCAAGTTTGTGACCGTTGTTGCAGCAGGTCATTTCTTAAATTTTCTTTGAATTTACTTAAAACTGAGGGCAAAATATTTTTTCTGGTGATTTAAAAAAAGAAAACCAACGTCTCTCAATACTAAAATGTAAAAAAAAATTATATTTGAAACAACTAATTACAGCAGTTGTTAAAACAAGATACATTTTATTGTGATGGATAGAAGGATAAAGTCTGAACACAGATTTTATTTCAACAATTATTTCTTTCAGTGTCATAAAGCAGCATTAGACTTGTACAGGACAAGACTTGTAACAAAATCAAAACAAATATGCAATGCAGAAACACACTAATATATAAAAAGCTCTAACTGAACCACCAACTTGGTCTTAATCAAAAGACATAGAAAAGAGATGGGTCTACAGTAAAGATTTAAAAACCTCAACCGTCTGAGCTGACCGAATTTTAAGAGGTAAACTGTTCCACAGCTTTGGAGCGGCTRTTGCAAAAGCCCGATCACCTCTAGATGTCATCTTGGATCCAGGAACATCTAAAAGAAACTGGTTGGTAGACCTGTGTGCTCTGACTGGAGTGTAGATGTTAAGAAGATCACATAAATATGATGGAGTCAAACCATTTAAAAACTTTAAAAGCCAACAATAAAATCTTAAAATTAATTTGCAGGTGAACAGGAAGCCAGTGGAGAGAAGCCAGGACCGGGGTTATGTGTTCATGCTTTTTAGTACCTGTTAAAAGACCAGTTGCTGTGTTCTGGACAGTCTGTAGGCAATGCAGAGATGGTTTATCCAAACCAGCATACAAAGAATTACAATAATCAAAACAAGTGGTAATAAAAGCATGAATCACCTTTTCAAGGTCTTTAGTGGGGAGATAAGATTTCACCCTGGCAATCAGTCTTAATTGGAAAAAACGTGATTTTACAACTGAATTAATCTGTCATTTAAAGACACCATCCAACAGAAAACAGTTTGTGTGATGTTGTGTGATGGTTYTGTGTGCAGGCGGTCCAGATAACCAGGTTCATTTTGAAGGATACCAGGTGTCCAATCAGTGCATGGCTCTGGTGCGAGACGAGTGCCTGCTGCCCTGCAAAGATGCTCCTGAGCTAGGCTACGCTAAAGAGTCCAGCCCCGAGCAGTACGTCCCAGACGTCTTCTTCAAGGTCAGACTCTCACACGTGGGCGAAACGAATGGAGCGCAGGCGTTACTGCTGAGTAATTATTCACTGTCTTTTGTTTCACGTTTTGTTTTAAACCAACAGGACAAAGACAAGTTTGGCAATGACGTCACGTTTCTCGCTCGGCCTCTTCCCGTAGAGTATCTCATCATAGACGTGAGTCACACATTTACTCTGTAGCCACCTTGAAACTTTTATGTCCTCCCCACAGACAAACCTGCTTCATAGAGCTTTTCTTTCTTATTACCTGTATTTGTTTTCAGATTACAACAACTTTTCCAAAGGACCCTCAGTACACCTTCACCTCCACGCAACGCTTCCCCATCGAAAACCGGGACATCCTCGGAGAGACGCAAGTAAGTGCTGCCAGTTTGAAACCTACTCTTCAAATCTATGGGAAATAAAGTTTCTGTGTTTAATTTTAATCAAAGTGCCATTCTACAGGACAGTTAGAAAACATTTTATTTACATTTCCTCTGTCCAGTTTTAAAAGCATCATCAAAGAGACTACTGGTGATAAAAAACACAGTTTTTAAAAACATTAATAAACTCCTTGTGTAAAGAAAAACAAAAACAGTTGGTTAAATGCTTTGTTGAGTTCAGTGACTCCACAGAATAACGGTCAGTTGAAAACTCGACTCATCCTTTTTGTTTTCAGGATTTCCACAGTTTAGCGACGTACCTGTCGCAGTGCTCCTCCACCTCATTCCTGGACATCGTGTCAGACTTCCACCTGCTCCTCTTCCTTGTCACCAATGAGGTCATGCCGCTGAGAGTGAGTTTGCGTCCGTCGCTCCAGAAATGGATGTTTTTTTGTTTGTGCCGAGTCGAGTTTGAACAGATGAGTTTGTGTTTGCAGGACAGCATCGGCCTTCTGCTCGACGCAGTGAGGACCTCCAACGAGGATCTGGCCCAGACCTGGAAGAAGTCTGAGCAGTGGGCCACCATCGAGCAGCTCTGCAGTGAGTCAGCCGAACTTCCTCACTTTGGCTTCTACTCTGTCAGATATATCGTATTTCCAGACTATAAGTCACACTTTTTTATAGTTTGACTGGTCCTGCGACTTATAGTCAGATGAGACTTATTTAAGTATTATTTTCTCTTTATGACTTATTTTTTGGCAGATGTGACTTCTACTCCTGGGTGATTTAAAGGGATCCATAATTAGTTGTAACATTAGACTTTATTTGAATAACATTTATT